GAAAAATTTTCGATAATAATCATGGGCAAATCCCTGATATGAATTGTTAATTTTTCGTTTATACAAACAGCCCGGCCGGGTCCCGGTTTGGAAATGTGACCTAAGCATAAGTTTTGAGCTCTAATACGGTGTTTCACAACTAAGTGTACTCTCCACACTTGAATTGATTGTGATTTCTAAGTGGAATAACAGTTCTAAATCTGTGCCTTTCTTTCGACAGGCAATCATTAGAGATATCGTCGCACGAAAGAACTTGACCGACATGACATTTGAGACGGTGGATGCCATCGAGGAGGTGATTTTTACTAGTATTCGGTTTTACTATCACTACTAACGTTAGTACTAGTATCTAAGGCCACACCGATTTAATTTTATGGATGACATCCTCTGAAGACCCCCAAACCACAGGAATACAAAGCTAGTATTGTGAATTCCCGACAGTACTTAGAGACGTATACGACAAGCCGGCACATGCTGGCTTTTTGCGGCATTTATGAATCGGTACTATACTTATGTTACTGAGTTCTTGAGTCGTGGAGCTTCGAATTCGATAGCCTGGGTGCTCGGCTCCGTTTTGTTGCTGATTAGTATGGACTACCCAGGCCTAGAGCCTCGGTGGAGGTGATCTTTTTTTTTTTAGGGCGACAGGCGAAAATCAATGCGCGCGCGGATGTCATCCATAAAATTAAGTCAGGGTGGCATGTCAAGGAGGTTTCATCACAAAATTGAGGGTGCTAGTAGGTTTCTACTTTCCAGTCATAAGTAGGTGCTTCAACTTACTACATTGTACTAGTACTTTCCTTCATTTCTCGCAAGGCATAATTTCTCTCTTTATTTCGATACCCTTTAGCCAAATTAAAGGCTGATCTCCAGGGTTCATTCGAGAAAAACATACATACAACAAACACACGCATATAATACACAAAAGAAGATTTACACAAGGCTAAGTTGATTTGATTATATGGATAACATCCGCGCGCGCATCAATTTTCGACCGTTTCAACAAAAAAAGTTTTCAACCATATACAGTTGCAAAAATATATACATGTACCGTAAGTTGCAAAAAATATAGCTCTGTGTCATTTGTTCCACCTTCATGACCACGTAGATTTCATAATGAAAGCAACTTTTTTTTTGCGAAACTTTTTTTTATTCGCACGCTCGCGTCAGTTTTGGGGTTCACAGAGGATGTCATCCATATAATTAAATCAACATGGCCATATACCGGCTATACAGATACACATGAATATAAATCTAAAACTATGGATACAACTAAGCATAATTGGCAATTTCAGTGTGACTCGTGGAACGACTCTGGCGTTATGAATTAAAAATGCATTTCTTCTCTATTTTGTTGTAGTTCATGCGCGGAATAAAGAGGGAAGACAGAATGCGCGTCTACCAGGACTTCGTGAGGTGTATCAAGGCAAGAAGAGAAAAATGCAGGAAAAGGTATAAATCCCTTCATTAAAATGTATTATTGGCGACGCCTCAGGGGCAAACCCATTAGTATACTAGTACTATACTTCATAGTCAGTCTGCATGGATTCTAGCAAGGAGGTTAAGTACAAGTATTTAATCTCCTTGATTCTAGCTACATGTACTTACCTGGAATGTCACGTAAATATCCGTTTGTCGTCCGAATACAGGCCTCAAAATAATTGTTTTGCCCCAGAAGTAAGAAGGTTTTGTCAGGTTTTCATCCCAACAACAACAGCAGTACCTCCGTGCACTATATTAAAACAACAAAAATCTGGCAACAAAAATCATGAAAAATGCAATACCGTAATACTATTTTTGGATAAAAAAAGTGCAATATTTTTCAATAAAGATTTTTTGCTTTATTATATCACAGACAAAAGAGCCTGGGGTCTGAGCAGGCCGCTGGTGCCACGGATCCCGCGGAACAGACTAACACGCCAGCGGAAACAAGCCAGGAGCTGCCGGGCGCTGCGGAACCGACTCCCGAGCTGCCGGGCGGCAAGGAACCGCTGGCGGGCCACGAGACGCCGGGTGCCACGGGAACGAGCCACAAGCCGCCAACTGCAGCGGAACCGTCTCACAAGCTGCCGGGCGGCACGGAACCGACTCCCGAGGTGTCGGGCGGCACGGAACCACCAGCGGGCCACGAGATGCCAGGCGCCGTGGGACCGACTCACGACCTGCCGGGCGGTACGGAACCGACTCACGGGCCACAGTACTGGCCACCGCCCTTCTGTTACGGAGTTCAACCACCAGAAGTCTACAGGTTCGACCATTCAGAACGCTCACCGTTCAGCCCAATACAACAAACAACCAACAACATGACGACAACGGCCCGACCGCCAACGATAAAAGCAACCTCGGCAGATCAGGACACTTCTGCACGTGTCATATACAATGTAACTATACCGGTTATGGTCTTTCCACTCTTTCTGTATTGTGTATTCTGTATTGCTGGTACAGTATAACACCCCGAATCTAACAGCCCTTTGGCGTAACACACCAGCTTTGCAGGCACGCAGCTTGGCGGCAGTCGGTTACAATATTAATTTAAACGACCTGTACTTATTTACACTTCATCGTTGCACATCTAACTGTAGACGCTGTTTAAAGCTATCTAGTTGTGATACCCATACTGTACTTGGTGGCAGCGACTCCCACTCTACTTTCATTCCGATAATTCCGACAAGTTTAAGAATATTACAAATGCACAATAATCTTGGCTTTTCTCTCGACAGGCACTTCTGAGAAACATCGTCAGAGAAAAGGACCTGACCAGCATGAAATCAGCCGAGACGAAGCTCGCCATCGAAGAGGTAGTTTTTGTTCGTTTTATCTCACCAACTGATTTCAAGTATACCAATTCTATGGCAATCACTTGATACCAATAGGTTTCTACTTTAACCCTAGTAGGGAACTTGACAACAAAGTAGAAAATGTATATGTTGACTCATCGACATCTTGACTGATTTTTTTTTTCAGTCCCACTCTGCGAGGACCAGGATAAAGCTAAAAAATATAGATGTGTTGCATAGTATACAATTTCAAAGTGGCGCTAGAATTGGTACTTGTAAATGTATCTTCACACCTCCGTTGTAGCCTTTACCAGGCTGTTGGGAAATATTAGAAATTGGCCAAATAGACTGAACCAGGGGGTATGTGTCAAAGTAAACCCTCTAACCGGCAAACTCCACCAAACGTAAACATGCTATCTGGCCCATTTCTAAAGCGACGGTCACAACCCGTCGTACGTGCTTCTGCGTGCTGTCTACGTGCAAAAACGTGGGCAAACGCAGGGCACCCGTGCGTGAAGAGTACCGCCTCCGTAAGGAATCCTACGGATTTGGGAGCACGCAGACTCGCCGTAGAACTTTAAGTGCATGTAAAACTTTTTCTACGTGCGGTCTGCGGATTCACCACCCGTGCGTGCGAGTACGAGCGACGTGCGTGCCCCGTACGTGTCGTGCGGAAGAAGCACGTGTGAGTACGGCTTCCTTACGGTAAAGTTGCAATCGCACGGAGATCGTACGTTGTAAGCACGTACAACTCACTTACCACTTGCGCAACGTACGATGCACGCAACCGCTCACTGCCAGACTTGGCGTGCAGACCACACTCTTACACTTTGTGCAACCGTGCGAGTGACGTGCGAGTGACGTGCGTAGACGCCACTTCTTCCCCACGTTTTCAGAAAAAACGTAGCAGACGTAGCCTCCCAAAAAACGTACGGAGAAAAAGCACGTACGGCGGGTTGTGACCGTCGCTTAACGTTAGTATTTTTTCTAGCAGCCTGAGGAGCCTGGTACAGGCTACCTCCGCCGTGTTGATATCGCAATATACAGTGCCTTGATGACAGATGATAAACGGATATGTTCCTCTCTGTTTCGTTGTACATGTAGTTCATAAAAAGCCGTGAAATCAAGATGGAAGACAGGAAAGGCGTCCATCAGGACTTCAGGAAATGTATCAAGAACAGAAACAGCTACAGCAAAAGGTACAGGTCTTTCATTAATGTACATTATTGTTGTTGTACATGTAGTTCATAAAAAGCCGTGGAATCAAGATGGAAGACAGGAAAGGCGTCCACCAGGACTTCAGGGAATGTATCAAGAACAGAAACAGCTACAGGAAAAGGTACAGGTCTTTCATTAATATACATTATTGGCGACGCCTCAGGGGCGAGTCTAATGAAGTATACATTTGTAGTCAGTCTGCAGGGGAATTCTAGCCATTTTACAAATAAGTCGGTTATTTTCCATTGACAACTATAGTAAATAGTTGTTTGTAGGTTGTCCCAAAAGCAGGCATCATGAGAATCTATTTGCCCCAGATGTAAGGGATCGGAGTTTTGTCAATAAATTAATTTGTTCCCATGGAAATAGTTGAATGCCTGTCTTGTTCTATTTCTGGTTATTGTAGACTAGATTCGTTGATGTTGTCTCTTTCACACACTTGTAGAGTCCTACATCTTTTATCAATTTTTGTTTATCACAGACGTCAAAAGAAGCTGAGTTCTAACCAAGCCGCTTGTGCCGTGGAACCAACTCTCGACCTG